AAAAACATCTGTATCCACGTAATACTTCGAAATTAAAAAAAAAAAAGAACACTGTAATAAATAAATAAAATGAAGCAAAATTTCATGTAAACAACAGCTAAGTTTATTATCTTATTTTGCGAGGTAAAACAAACATCTAAGCAAGCTTCTTTAAAGGTAGAAGATAGAATATATCTTGAAAATAATTGCACTCAGAATTTTTAAAAAGTAAAAATATTAAAAAATGGCTAAATGCAGATGTACCTTTGATAGGAATAAATTAAAATTCCTAAAGCATTACCATGTGCATATATTCCAGTTCCAAAATTTTTGTATAGTAACATTTCAGTTGTAGCTGTGGGCAATTTGCAGTATATTTGCTTGTCCTGTAGAAACTATAAGATGCTAAATCAAGGCCTAAAATATTTTTCCGATTCTTTGGGTTAATACATTAGTGATGTAACTTTGAAATTATTATGATATCTGATGTTTAAGAAAATCTTGGTATAAATACTTTAGGTAATTTTTTTCTAATTCATTTAAAGCCTTTTTTTTTCATTTTTATTTAGATGAATGAGTTTTAATCTCGTAAAGAATAGTCACGTTTTCAGCACCGAGCAAGATGGCAGCCTCCGAGACGGTTAGGCTACGGCTTCAATTTGATTACCCACCGCCAGCCACCCCGCACTGCACGGTCTTCTGGCTTCTGGTCGACTTGAACAGATGCCGAGTTGTCACGGATCTCATTAGTCTTATCTGCCAGCGCTTCGGCTTCAGCTCTGGGGCCATCCTAGGCCTCTACCTGGAGGGGGGACTCTTGCCCCCCGCGGAGAGCGCGCACCTGGTGAGAGACAACCATCGCCTCAGAGTTAAATTAGAAGAGAGAGGAGTTGCTGAGAATTCTATAGTAGTTAGTAATGGTGACAGTACACATTTATCAGCCAGAAAAGCAAAGAAATGGAGATTTAAGTTAGAGGAGGACAAGGAAATTGAACCAAGTTACAAATATTCAAAGAAGCACTGGAAGAGGCAAGAGAACAATAGCAATAATGAGAAGGCCTTGGATCTGGAGCCAAAAGCTATCACAGATCAGACCGTGAGGAAAAAGAATAAGAGAAAAAACAAAGCGACATGTGGTGTAGTGGATGATGGTGACGAAGAAACCAAAAGAAAATCACCAAAGAAAAAGGGGAAATGTGAATATAAAAAAAAGACAAAGAATCCCAAGTCTCCAAAAGCGCAGGCAGTAAAAGAGCAGACCATCCAGAGCTGTAGTCCTCCAAAAGGTTCTGCTAGAAACAGCCTTGCTAAAGTCAGAGAGAAAGGTGGTGTAGGCGTTTGTTCAAAAGATAGTCCCAGTTCCTCCTCGGAGTCTGAGTCTTCTCATGAATCCACCAGTGATGGTCTCAGCAATGCCACTTTGGAGGTCAAAAATTCCTCAGAAAAAGCATCAGCTGAGTTATCAAAGGAAGGACCCTCTACAAAAAACCCAGCTGCAAACAAACCGGCTGCCAAAGCTGGCTTTAACCTTACCCCCACCAAGGACAAGACCTCATCATCTTCTAGTTCAAACTTTAATTCAGAGTCAGATGACCAATGCATGATATCAAAGACCACCCCAGAGCGTGCTGCGAGTTTCTTAAAGACCATAGGCCTCTTTGCAGGAAGAGGTTGTCCGGGTCCGGGGTCATCATCACAGTCTCCAAGTGCTGCTGGGTGGAAGCATTCTGACTCAAATGGAGGCAGACAGGCTCCTGGTCCTCCTCCCAACGTGTCTCTCCACCCTAATTTAGGAAGAGGATGGGGTAGAGGAGAGGACCTTCTCTCTTGGAAGGGAGCTAGGGGTCGGGGCATGCGTGGGAGAGGGCGAGGACGAGGGCAGGCTGTTTCTAGTCTTTTAAATAGAAACACTGAATACCAGAAGCAGCAGCAGTTAAATGAAACAGTAACAAACTCAGCTACTATTATCCAGAATCCAATAGAGACACACAAGAAGGACTATACTTTGTTACCGCTGCTGGCAGCTGCCCCTCAAGTTGGAGAAAAGATTGCATTTAAGCTTTTGGAACTAACATCTGATTACTTTCCTGATGTCTCTGACTATAAGGAAGGAAAAATATTAAGCCA